AAAGGGAATCATGAAGTATTTAATGAAAACAGGAGGCTGATGTGACAGCCTCTAGCAAGCATCAGGCCAAATTCTAGGGACTGCAAGTCTCTCTCACATGCAAGACACCCCAACTTTCACAAACCTAAAAAGCACACACCATTCTTTTCTTCCAAGTGGTAATACAGGACTGCTGGGCCACAAGCAAGAGTGGCTTTTGTCCCAATGTGTTTGGTCAGAACAGGATCACATCTCAGGGGCATGCCAAGGGCTGGTGCTCAGGCTTGTCCCTGCTATCACCTTGGGTAAAGTTTTATACAAAGAGGAGAAAACTACAAAATATGAGCCAAGGCAGTACTTAAAAGCAAAAGAAAGAGCCACCTGCTCTCCTGGTGAAATCTGCTAGAAGGAGCACACACCAGCTTCTGTCAGTTCCTCAAAACTGTTTACAAAAGTATTAAATGAAGACATTGAATAGCCAAAGTATAAGGATATGTAACACAATGTATGAGACAGCAAACTTCTTCAAAGGCCAATCAACAAACGTCTACAACTTGTCATTTCTGTCACAGCTACTCAGTCTGCCCTCTGGCATCAACAATCATGGGTTACACAGTACCTAACCCTAAATCAGAAAAATGCAGCTTAGGGTGTCTGCAAAGTACTGACACTCAGAGATATTTGTATTAAAACCCTACCTCTTTCTACCCTAACCATTGTGAGCAGAGCAGTATTCATAGGAGTACACTTTGAGAAATGTAGCCATCTACAGAAGTTATAAATCCGTTGAGATTAAATGACCATCATCAGCCCTTAGTATTACAGAGTATTGGAGAGTAATAGGAAAATAAAAATTTTACCCCAATATTATAATCCAGATTTCATGGAGTATGGTTAGTTCTTAAAAGTACACAGAAACAGATATTTTCTCTCCAGAAAGGCCTGTGTTTAGGCTATGAGAATGTAAAGATCATCTTTCCTCTTATACTAGAACCAAAAAATTTTAGCATGCTAACACATTTTAATGTTACATGCTAAATTTAAAGTTCTTATTAACTAGTAATATGATACATATGCTTACTATGTAGCTAGTGAGATAAAAGTTGTTGCTAAAGCCTTCTACCAGGTAATAGAACTAATAGAAATAGAACTAACTGAAAGTGAAGGATACCAGCCAAAGTTAACTAAATCATTACTTATTAATCCTTTTCTCCATTTTTTAATTTAAATTAGAAACAAGATTGTTTTACATGTCAATCCCAGTTCCCTCTCCATTCCCTCTCCCCCACCCCAACTAACACCCTACCTATCACATACCCTTTCTGCTCCTCAGGGAGGGTGAGGCCTTCCATAGGGGGGTCTTTGAAGTCTGCAATATCCTTTGGGATAGGGCTAGGCCCACCCCCATGTGTCTAGGCTCAGGGAGTATCCCTCCATGTGGAATGGTCCCAAAGTCCATTCCTATGCTAGGGATAAGTACTGATCTACTACAAGAGGCTTATCATTTAATCTTCAAAACAGGCTTGTCATCACCAACTCCCATTTTATAAGATAGAAAACAATTGGCTCACCCATAATTTTGACCCCCATTCTCAGTTACTCTATACCTCAACTTCACTCTAGTCCCCCAGTCCTTTGAAATGCATGGATTTTCATTAAAATTACATTTTAACAGTGAAGTATGCATGACAAGTTACAGCAACTTCATCTTACCTTTTAGTTCCTAAGGAAGGTCTGAAGAGCCAAGAGTTATTTGATGAGATTCGAATGACCTATATCAAAGAACTAGGAAAAGCCATTGTCAAAAGGGAAGGAAACTCCAGTCAGAACTGGCAGCGGTTTTATCAACTGACAAAACTGTTGGACTCCATGCATGATGTAAGTATCAAACAAAGCCAAACAACAACAAAAAGAAAATCATAGGCCAGGTGTGGTGGCACATGACTTTAATCACAGCAAAGACTGAGGTAGAGGCAAGTGGATCTTCATGACCTCCAGACAGAGAGATCCTGTCTCAAAAACCCAGAGATAGAGAATTTTGTGGGATATAAGTTATGTTTTAATTAGTATATAATATATGCCAATAAGTCATTCCCCCTCCTTCAGTTTATATATTTTAGTGATCGTTCAAGTTAAATTTGTAAACTACAATTTTGTACACAATTCTCTTAAGTCTTATTAGTCTAGTCATTTCCATGAAAGTTACCATGTTATTACAGAGTTTAATAGCACTACTTTTTAAAGTAGAAATCCCTGTTCTACACAAGAGAGCTATTAAATTATGTTAGTTTTGTCTTACCATATTTCAATACTCAAGCAGGCTGGCCTCAAACTCACACTCTTCCTTCATTCTGCTGCCTCAGTCTCCTAAGTGCTGGGATTATAGGCAGCCAGGTTTTCATTCTGCACACAGTTTAAGAAATTTAAAATGTCTTTTGTACTTAAAGCTCATTTTATTTAAATGATTTTTCTTCTCTGGGGAATTCCAATAAAAATTGGTATATTTTAGATCAGTTTTTTTTAAGACCAACAGAAATGATCAGAGTCTGCACAGGTCTTCTGGGTATATATTATGGTTTCCAGTTTAGTGTTTGTATAGGATTCCTGATTGTGGGAATGATTGGGTCCCTGAATTTTTTTCCTTCTCTTGGGCTCTTCTTGTTTGTCTTGTCCAAATCCAATGTCATAATTTTTGTTTTATATTATTGTATTTTATTTTGTTATAGTGTGTTATTATCTCTTAGAAGCCTGTTCTTTTCTAATGAGAGACAGAAAGAGAATGGATCCGAACAGGAGGAGAGGTAGAGAGGAAAAGGGAGGAATAAAGGGAGGGGAACCATAATCAAGATGTATTATGTGCAAAAAGAATCTGTTTGAACCCTCATCGGTACTGTATCTTCTCTTGCAGGTGGTTGAAAACCTCCTTTCCTATTGCTTCCAAACATTTTTGGATAAGAGCATGAGTATTGAATTCCCAGAGATGTTAGCTGAAATCATCACTAATCAGATACCAAAATATTCAAATGGAAATATCAAAAAGCTTCTGTTTCATCAAAAATGACTGCCTTACTAAGAAAGGTTGCCTTAAAGAAAGTTGCATTTATAGCTTTTACTGTACAAACTTATCAATTTGTCTTGTAGATGTTTTGTTGTTCTTTTTTTGTCTTGTTTTGTTTTAAATACGCACTACATGTGGTTTATAGAGGGCCAAGACTTGGCAACAGAAGCAGTTGCATCATCACTTTTAAGTGATGGGAAAGCAGACAGTGAAGTGTATTGGTTGGTGTATCACAGAAACTAAAAACAGTTACATGGAGGTATGTCCAGTATCTCCACTATCGGTGAAGGACCGCACCTAAACCACCAGTGCCCAAAGTCCATGTGATCAGCTTTCTGCTCATACTTTCAGTTGGCTGGATAAAACTTCTAGACTTTCTGTTGGTGTATTTTCCCATGTATAGTTAGGGTAGCATTTTTGATTTATGCATGGAAACCTGAAAAAAAGTTTACAAGTGTATATCAGAAAAGGGAAGTTGTGCCTTTTATAGTTATTACTGTCTGGTTTTAACAATTTCCTTTATATTCAGTGAACTATGCTTGCTCGTTTTTTCTTAAATAATTTTTGTATTCAAGTTATTGTACAGCTGTTTAAGATGGGCAGCTAGTTCATAGCTTTCCTAAACTCTAAACATTAATCTTCTGTGTGAAAATGGGTTGGTGCTTCTACCCTGATGGCACTTAGCTATCAGAAGACCACAAAAATTGACTCAGATCTCCAGTGTTCCTGTCAAAAGCTCTTTGTATATATCTGCTTCCATGGATAATTAGATAGGTTGTGCAGATTACCATCCTAACTGGTGTAGAGCACCTACCTAGTACAGTGAGCCACTGGGTAAACTGTGGGTGATGGTCAAAAAAAGACTAGTTAAAGACAGTAACTACTAAAAGGCCCAGTTTGTACCTAATTCCCCTTCTCTACAATGGTGAGATGACAACAGAGTTTGTAAATGAACTCTTTCAGGACCTTCTGGAATGGTTTGTGTAACATCTTAGCACTTATGATTCCAAGATTGTGTGACAAAGCTGTAACTTTTCTTTAAATTAGACCAAGTAACTTCTCTCCTTAAACTTTACCCCCAAACTAATCTCTAATAAGGCAAGAATGGCTAGACACCCATTTTCACATCCCCGCCTGTCACCAATTGGTCTAGCTTTCCTGGTGGTACAGGAAAATCAGCTACTGATTTTTGTTATGTAGAACTGAATGTCAGAATCCGTGTTTGTCAACCACACATCCATCCCAACATGTGCCATAGCGTTTAACAGGTCTTGTGAACTTCTTCTTCACACTGAGAGTTATCATTGTAAACAGAACAGAAGCTGTGGTAGCCCTTTCTGTGTGCACCTTACCAACTTTCTGTAAACTCAAAGCTTAACACACTTACTAAGCCACAAAAAAAAATTTGATTTCTACTTAAGGTGGCCAAATTATTTCTGTAATAGAAAACTGAAAGTCTAATATTAAAAATATGGAACTTCTAATATATTTTTATATTTAGTTATAGTTTCAGATATATATCATATTGGTATTCACTAATCTGGGAAGGGAAGGGCTACTGCAGCTTTACATGCAATTTATTAAAATGATTGTAAAATAGCTGTATAGTGTAAAATAAGAATGATTTTTAGATGAGATTGTTTTATCATGACATGTTATATATTTTTTGTAGGGGTCAAAGTAATGTTGATGGATATCCTATATGATTTATAGTATGTGAGAGCATCCATACAGGCCTCAGTGGTCTTGGGAGTTAAAACTTGTTTGCTCTAAGATAGGAAGAGGGAGATGGAGACTGGCCCTGTGTGCAGTGGAGGTTGCTGAGGCTTTGACCCAGTCAGATTACAGGGGAACTAATTCCCCACCTCCCATTTTGACCATCCTTATCCAACCTTGATCCTGTCAGTGCAAGGTTAGTTTATTAAATCTCCCCTTGCACTAACGTACATGGGCAGGACAGAAAGGTGGTGCTGATGTAGTTATAGGCACCATCTAGTAACAGGGTTGTTTCACATGTGGCCTCCCCACAGGTTAACAGGAACAGAGGCTTTAGAAGTTTGGCAATAATATGAATAGAGGTACCAGCAATATGTAAATACTACAGAATCCCATAGGTCACCAATAATACACTAATCCTTTCCATCCTAAAATAGTTTATTTCCAACTAAAATGAGGACATGTTTATGTTTTCTTTGAATGCTTTTTGAATGTTGTTATTTTCAGTATTTTGCAGAAATTATTTAATAAAAAAAGTGTAATCCTTTGCTTTTTGAATTCTCTCTAAAAGGGAATGTTCACTTTGTAATGGTTTAAATTGGTCTCAAAGTACTTTAAGATAATTGTAACCCAGCTGGATGTGAAATTTAAAGGTGCCTAAGAAATACCACTTGAATATTATCAATGACAGTGTTAAGTTTCAAAATGAGCTTCTCAAAAATAGATTATTGTACATTTATGGAATGTTATATGGTTAAAACCAGAAAGCACATCACACATAAATCTGCTTTCAGTCCCAACCAGCTTGGCTTTCAAAAAAAATACAACTCCAAAACTAAAATAGATTTGTTATTACCAGAAGGCAACAGACACACAAATTTATTATAGGAAGCTTTCCATTAAATGGCTAAGAGCTGTGCTCCTTCAGTATGTGGGAAAGGAGAGCTATCCTCATTCTGATAGAGTGTAGGTGAGAAAGCTATGGTACTGTTTGAGAGTGGCTTCAATTTCTGTGTGTGATTTCATACCATTCCAAACTATTTAGATCTATAATAACTTCAATGAGAGTTGGAGAAATGCCTACATGATTCACAACAGATCTTGAAAACTATCTTTAATTACTGGTAGGACAAAAAGGGACATTCTGGGTATTTTAGGCATTGACTTGGGATACTGTATAAGCAGAAGTGAGAAGGCAGGAAGCCTAGGGAAGGGAAAGGAATGCAAGCCTTCTGTGAGGAAATACAAAACAAGCCAGACCATCCCAAACGGACAAGGGACATGTTTAGTGTGTGGAGTCTTTCACGATGAGTGTAGGGTGAGCTCAAGTATGTGGAGAATCCAACCTCCCCAGCACTGCAAAGTAGGGCCAGGACAGGGATGGGACAGGACGAGCAATTCCAGATGGACATTGGTCTTCGTTTTTGCTCCCTCTTATGTACTGTGAGACCATATCACCATAGGATAAACCATGGTATTATGCTTGATCTGTCAGCATTCAAGGATCATGGTAGCCTTCAGTGAGCTTTTAGATCTTGGTTGGTCACCCCAACAATAAGCTATAGTTGAATGTGTTTCTTATGTGTCTGGTTTCAGTGTTAGAGGGTAAAATAAAAGTGTGCAGAAGACACTGAAAGCCACTTCAGATATAAGTTTTCTCATTTTGCAGGCTTTCAGTCAGCCTGGTCCATCAGACTTGATGACTGGGTTTTCAGGAAAGGGTTGGCTTCTGTCTAGAGTATGCCTGAAAGGATTTTATTTTCTGATAAATGGCTGTATGAAAATACCCTTCTAAATAACCTGCTTAACTACATATAGATTTCAGTGTGTCAATATTCTATTTTGTATATTAAACAAATGCTATATAATGGGGACAAATCTATATTATACTGTGTATGGCATTATTAAGAAGCTTTTTCATTATTTTTTATCACAGTAATTTTTAAATGTGTAAAAATTAAAAACCAGTGACTCCTGTTTAAAAATAAAAGTTGTAGTTTTTTATTCATGCTGAATAACCTGTAGTTTCGAACTGTCTTTTTATCTCCACAGTGAAATGTCAGACTGTAAAATTTTGTGTGGAAATGTTTAACTTTTATTTTTCATTTAAATTTGCTGTTCTGGTATTACCAAACCACACATTTGTACTGAATTGGCAGTAAATGTTAGTCAGCCATTTACAGCAATGCCAAATATGGATAAACATCATAATAAAATATCTGCTTTTTCATTATGTGCCTCCCAACCTGCTTTCATAGAATTTATGTAGTTACAACTTTCCTGGTGTTTTCTCCTAACATTCTACTGATAGCAGAAATTCCTGTTTTAGAACTTAAGGTGGACATTTAAATGCCAGCGTGACAGCTAGTGTGTGCATAGGAAAATGACATTTGTTCAAAATGAGCTTAAACCTGATGCCAGAAACTCTAAAAATTATCTCACCCATGTCTTCAGGGCTAATGGGCTTATGATTTCACAGGATATTAATGCAGGAGAAACTGACTCCTGTAACTGCTTCAGATGTAACAGTCTTTATCCCAAAAGATATTTTTATGTAAACTGTTATCTAAGAGAAAGATTAATAGCTTAATTTAAAATCCACACCTTCTCTTAGAAATGCAAATCAGTGAACAGCAAATGTACAAAATAGAAGATAAAGGCTGTGGAAGTGGTAAGCCCGTCTGTGCAGTCTATTTGTCCTTTCTATCTTATGTATTCCAACTGCATGCCTACTATATAAATATAAGGAAAATGGCAATGCTTAAGACACTTAAGACTTTGAGATTGGAAAGTCCAGCACTCCTTTCTCACTCTCTTAAGGTGCAATACAGATACCCTTGATATGAAACCAGTGTCTATAGTGTCTACACCTTTGCATGCACATGCAGAAGCCAGAAGAAAACACTGGTGTCTTCCTCTGTTGCTCTCTACCTTACTCCCTTGAGAGAAGGTCTGTCACTCTGAAGCTCACTAGTTCAGGTGCATTGGCTGGCTAGAGAGCGACACAGACCTGTCTGTCTGCCCTACAGTGCTGGGGTTACAGGCATGAATGTCCACGTCCAGATTGTTTACATGAATTCTGGGTATTCAAACTCAGATACCCATGTGTACAAGCGAGAATTCTTACTAAACCACACCAACCACCCATACCCATTCTTGCCATGCCATCTACTCTCAAGTGTAATTCTGTTTTTGTAAGATACCTTCACACATACTACCCCAGTCAATCTTGACTCATGAAAAATGAAGTGAAGACAAGTGATACTAGTAGCTCAATAACTTAAATTAAAATGGAAACCTCAGTAATGAAGCCCTTTAGTTACCAAGTATCAGGTAGCGCATCTCTGAAAGTCCTCTCAGACAACAATATTTTCTGCTTTTAATTTGTCTGTCTACTGTTTCAGTGAGCACCCACTATGTATAACATGTTTCAATATTTCATCTTACTTAATCTTTGCAGACCTATAAGTAGTATTCTTATTCTCACATATATGAGGGAAGTATGGCTTGAAAAATTGAATCTTCCAAGGCTTGGAAATGGCTAAGTGGAACTTGACACTAAACACCTGGCTCTGGAGTTCACGTCTTAACCACTTCTGGGAGAGAGGAATGAGAAGCTCCTAAGAGCGGCAGCTGAGCCTTGTGAGCTCTTGTCCTCTCACATGATCTCAGTTCCATTTGCTATTACATCAGCTTTTGAATTATTTTATTTTTTGAGATTATAGTTGCATAATTCCCCGTTCTTTCCCCCCCACAAACTCTCCCATATAACCTCGTTGCTCTTCTTCAAAATCATGGCCTCTTTCCTTCATACTTGTTACATGGGGCATGGGTGTGTGTGTGTGTGTGTGATCACATATATGGTACAGTGTGTGTGTCTGTGTGAGTTGAGGTGGTACAACCTGCTCAGTATATAGAGTGGGGCTTGTGTGTATGTTTTCAGGGCTAATCATTTGTGGACTCCTGAAGAGATGGAGGGTGAGAAACTAACGCCAGAGAGATTTCAGAAAACTCTTTGGTTTTTCAAATATACAAGGAATCTGTGTGTCATTTAATAGCACTTAAAGCAAATGAACAAAGCTCCAGGAGAAAGGATGCAAACAGATTACCATCAGAGTAAAAAGGAAAGTTGTTTTCAAATGAAAACTGTGATGCAGGTCAAATCTGGTCCTACTTTAACAACAAGAACAACAAACTATCCAAACCTTGGATATAAAAACTAAAAAAAAATTAAGTTGAAAATACAGAGCCATTTTGTGCAAACTAAACAGTTTGTAGACTTCAGCTCATCTTGTGAGTGGCCCCCAACAGCTTTTACAGTACCTTCTTTAAAAGTCTCTTGCCTACAGGCTTCGTCAAGCTTCCAGTGTTTCTTAGTTAAAATGAGATAGTCCTTGAGTAAGGGAAACATTTTAATCTGCTTGTTTCCAGAACTGAATTTGTAAACAAAGGAGTTCATCTAGAACCCATTGGAATAGGGACATGTACACTCTGTTCATCCCATGTGCCATTATCAGAGTAATAGAGGTAGAAGCACCAGGCAGTAACAGTCCTAGGAGGCTTAAATGGCAGTGTCAGGTTCAGAAGCTTGAAGAACCACAAAGAGAATCATAAATTCAAGTTTCAAAGTCAGTTTTCTGTTTCCTTCCCTTTGTTTATCAGAACACATTTTTCTCTTATTTTTTTTATTCCTCCTTAGCTTTGTGTTCACAGCAAACTATACACACTCCATAAATAACAGGAACAGCGACAAAAGAAGAATGCACACAACCACTAATCACCACCATGTTCCGCTGTCTGCCATTTATCACCCTGGATCTGATTTCTATATCACTTTTGGGAAACAGTGGGTGTGCACATGCCACTGTACACATGTGAAAGTCAGAGCACACCTTTCTGGAGTTGATTCTCTCCTTCCACCATGTGCGTCCCAGGGATTGAACTCGGGTTGTCAGACTTGACAGCACGTCCCTTTACCTGCTGAGCCAACATTTTTGTTTTAATTTGTTTCTGTTGCTCAAGCTGTTTTAATCTGTCCCTGTCACTTGCTCCTACAGATACAAAAGAACTAAAAAGTGGGTGCCCCATCAAAGCATGTGGACACATTCACAGCAGCAATAGTGGGGGGCAAGGGAGGAGGAGAGGGAGAGGGAACTGGGATTGACATGTAACACAATCTTGTTTCTAATATAAATAAAACAATGGAGAAAAAAGAAAGAGCCATGGGAAACAAGGTTCTACCTCTTGTATCTTGCTAATGTAGCTTTTCTTACAAAGTACTTCTGAATATATCTATTGGGTTCAACGAAATTCCCAAAATTAGGAACAAGATAAGACTGTCCACTCTTTCTATATCTCTTCAGTATTGTACTTGAAGTTCTAGCTAGAGCAATAAGACAACAAAAGGAGATCAAGGAGACAAAATTGGAAAGGAAGAAGTCAAACTTTCAATATTTGCAGATGATATGATAGTTTACATAAGGGACCCGAAAAACTCTACCAGGGAACTCCTACAGCTGACAAACACCCTCAGCAAAGAGGCAGGATACAAGATTAACTCAAAAAAAAATCAGCAGCACTACTATATACAGTAGAAAAATGGTCTAGAGAAAGAAATCAGAGAAACATCACACTTTACAATAGCCACAAAAAACATAAAATATCTTGGGGTAATGCTAACCAAACAAGTGAAAGGCATGTATAGCAACAACTTTAAGAAAGAAATTAAAGAAGATACCAGAAAATGGAAAGATCCCCCATGTCCTTGGATAGGTCACATCAATATAGTAAAAATGGCAATCTTACAAAAGCAATCTACAGATTCAATGCAATCCCCATCAAAATACTAGCACAATTCTTCACAGACCTTGAAAGAACAATAATCAACTTTACATGGAAAAACAAAAGACCCAGGATACCCAAAACAACCCTGTACAATAGAGGAACTTCAGGAGGCATCACCATCCCTGACTTCAAGCTCTATTATAGAGCTATAGTCCTGAAAACAGCTTGGTATTGGCACAAAAACAGACAGGTAGACCAATGGAATCAAATTGAAAACCCTGATATTAACCCACACACCTACGAACACCTGATTTTTGACAAAGTAGCTAAAGTTATACAATGGAGAAAAAGAAAGCATTTTCAACAAATGGTACAGGCATAAATGGATGCTGGCATGTAGAAAACTGCAGACAGATCCATTTCTATCCCCATGCACAAAACTTAAGTCCAAATGAATTAAAGGCCTCAACATAAATCCAGTCACACTAACCCTCTTAGAAGAGAAAGTGGGAAGTACCCTCTAACGAATTGGTACAGGAGACTGCTTCCTGAACATAACACCAGTAGCACAGACACTGAGACTGATAATAAATGGGACCTTGTGAAATTGAGAAGCTTCTGTAAGGCAAAGGACACAGTCAACAAGACAAAATGGCAGCCCACAGAATGGGAAAAGATCTTCACCAACCCCATATCTGACAGAGGACTATCTCCAAAATTTACAAAGAATTCAAGAAGCTAGTCTCCAAAACACCAAATATTCCAATTAAAAAGTGGGGTACAGAACTAAATAGAGAATTCTCAATAGAGGAGTCTAAAATGGCTGAAAGACACTTAAGAATGTACTCAACACCCTTAGCCATCAGGGAAATGCAAATCAAAACAACCCTGAAATACCATCTTACTCCTGTCAGGATGGCTAAAATAATAAAACACCAATGACAGTTTATGCTGGAGAGTTTAGGTAGAGAAAAGGGAACACTCCTCAACTGCTGGTGGGAGTGCCAACTTGTACAGCCACTT